ACACGCTCTTGGGGCTCATGGGCATGTAGTCGCCGCCCTTGGGGGGCCCCCCGCCGCCGGGCACGGGGGCTACGCCGGGTGACATGGGCATGTAGCCGTCGTCCGTGTGCGGGGCGGAGTTGGTCCGATGATGGCCGCCGTCGAGGTGGTGCATCTCCAGGCACTCCTCTGGGTAGGAGTGAGTGGGCACGAAGGCTGAGGAGGGCAGCCGGCTGCCACCACAGGGGTAGGAAGGCAGCATCTCCGTGTACTCCTCAATGGAGGCCACCGAAGACTGCGAGGGCGTCTTCTGGTGGGAGATGGTGGGCGAAGTGCCCGCGGAGTGAGTCCGCTTCCTGAACGCCTTCTCCAAGTCGGCAACCTCCTCGCTCCCCCCTCGAGGACAGCAGGGTGTGCTCGGGTAGCGGGGGTGTTGCTGTGGGTGGCAGGTGCGCGGGATGAAGTGGCCATTGGGGGCTGCCAGGCTGCAGCAGGAGGAGGTGGCCTTCCCCCCCCCCATGCAGATGTAGTTGAGCTCTTCGTCGCCCCGAGCTGGCGGGGTGTGTCCCAACGAATCCGGGGTCACGCTGCGAAAAGAGCTGCGAAAGTCACACGGGCTGGAACCATACTCGTCAGAAGAAATAAATCCGCCATCGCTAGGGGAGCCGGAAACTGAAGCGCTAGACCTTCGTGGAAACAGGCAGTCCGAGGTGGAGCCGTGGCCACTAGTGCTGCTGGATGACAGGCTGACTGGACTGGTGGCTGAAGGAGAACAGCGCGAGGAAGGCATCGGGATGGACCGGCTGTGGTTGAGCGGAGGATGGAGCCTGGAGTTGCCACGGTGCCTGTGCGAGTGGGTCCGGTTGGCACTGGGACTGACGGGGCTACCGTCCACGGAGGCAGGCCTTGACATCGTGCCTTCCCCGTCACTCGATGCCCGAACCCGGAAAGAGCTGGGTTTGCCACCCGTACCTCCGCCGCCGGCAGGAGAGGTGGCCGTGACGCTCTCAGTCCTGGACCGGCGGCTGAGCCCCACTTGGCTGGGTGGAGGGTTGTTGACGTGGTGCCTACTGCGGAGGGGCACGGAGATAGGGTTGGAACAGTTGGAGGAGGACTGGCTCTTGCTGCGGGGCCGGAATTCCTCGCTCATGGCTCGCATGGCCTCCAGGATGGTTTCGTGCATGTTCTGCGCCACCACCGAGTCATCCACCTGCATCCAGAACTCACCGGGCCCAGTGACAGCCGAGCGCCCCACCTCAATGAAGAAGAAGTTCTCCGAGTGACCACAGCGGCGGATATTGAGCAGCTGCAGCACCACAGCGGCCGCATCTGAATTCAGCTTCACAAAGCTGATGGTCTTGTTCGTCAGGCACAGGCGGTAGATGCCAATCAGGTTCTTTGTCTGGCCTAGGCCCTTAGGCTTCAGAATCACTTGCCAAACTTCCTTAAAAGCCGGGCCAGGGGCTACCTCACCGTAGCTGTCCTCGCCCGCTTCCCCCAGCCCCGCACTGCTGCCCCCAAAGGTGACATCGCTGTGGTGGTGGTGGTGGTGGTGATGGAGGTGGTGGTGGCCTTTGGCCCTGTTGTGCAGCTGCAGCAGCGCCTGGTACCAGCTCTCCTGTTCAGGCTCACTGTCAGCCGCGATGGCAAAGTGCTCGTCCTTGGTGTAGAGGGCCACCAGGTGCTTGTTCTTGGAGTCTGCCCGCTTGTTGATGTTGAAGCAGCTCTCCAGCGGGATGGAGCGCTTGGGGGCCCCCGACTTGTGTCTCCATTTCTTCTCATTCTCGTAATACTCCAGCCGGGCGGGTCCAGACTCGCTGGCTGCCCTCAGCACGAAGAAGCGTTTGTGCATGCTCTTGGGTTTGCGCAAGTAACCCACCTTTCTGACATCCGAGAAGAAGCCCTCGGTGTTCTCTGTGGGGCTAGCCATGGCGAGAGGCGGGG